TTCTGCACTCTCACCCCAGAAGACAAAGCGTTACCCGGAACGGACGAAATCGGCGGAGGACAAGGAATGGCAGCCGAAGAGGCGTCACCCGCTTCATCCCCCCTTAGCTTTGGACCAGAACTTGTTTCGTCCTCACCCGAGGGCTGAGGACCTGCATCATCACTCATACGCTCCTCGTCCACGGATGTGCAGTAGTCCGCAGTATTTTCCATCTCGATCTCGAAAGCCTCCACCAACCTTAGATCAACCCGAGGGGATGTATCTTCCTCGTCAAAAGGCCAGTCCTCTTCGTCCAACGAAGCTGTTAAGTCAATGGGGGAGGGAACGCTACGGCCGTTAGGAAACGACATAACATCTAAAACCTAAATCCTAAGGGCGGTTTTCGGATCAAAGTGAGTTCTCCTACAAACACTAGATCTAACCCCCTAGGAAGCAAAGTATAAGGGAAAAACGAAGAACAAATTAAGAACCTAACCTTGAAGGTTTGAAGATCTGGCAAAAACTTGAAGAACTCTTGAAGAAACCTCGGGAGCTTCTCTCTCTAGAAACAAAGGGGCAGCACTTCGTTACTTAGCGAAAAGGCACAAATGAGGGAAAGGCTTCGGAATTGGGGGGTATTTATAGACACCCCCTCCAACGGTCACTACACGTGGCATCCACTCATTGGCCACTCCAACGGCCACCTCTCCTGGAGCCAATCAAAGGGCGTCGTTTCAGATTCCTGCTAAAACCACTCACTACGGCCTTAAAAGAAGCAAGGCATCGGCTGCATACCGCTACGGCTCCAGAACCTTCACTTCGACCCAACTACTCCAAAACTCCAAAGTGGGCATCGACCCAAACTTCCAAAGGATGGGCCGCATCGGCCTCACAATGATCCAAAGAACCACAGGTACCGCTACGGCTGCTTATACGCGCATCGTTTGATGATGACCCTGACATTGCGGCCTTCGTCCAAGGGTTCTCCCACAGGGTTACCTTGGACAGGTTCGCCTAAGGGTTGGAGTCACGACTGACGCATAGGTACCGTATCGGCTCAAGCACATCATTACTCCCTTGTGCCTCAGATTGCTCTTCGGCCAAAGGAGTAGGGGACTGTATCGGATAAAAAAAAAAGAAAGCAAACGCTTCGTATTAATGAAAATCAAAGCACAATGGCCTCAACACGTAGAGAGCGCGAGTCGGCTTATCAACAAAGCACTGAGATTGCATCGACTCACCAAAGCAGGTATACACAAAAATCAAAACAGATGAAGTATCAGCTTAGAAACGCTTCGGGCGCACTACAAATCAAAGGTGTGCAGCACGCATTGTCCTCATAAAACATGAAAATAAAAGACTCCACCACATGGAACAAGGTTACCGCCACGGCACAAAAAAAATAGGAGAGATCCCTTCGGCCTCCAACAGATAACAATCAGACACTCCGGTTTACCCATACCGGAATTCATCGCATCGTCTACAATCAAAAGAGAGGATCATCAAGCCACGGAGGCATCGCAACGGCTTCAACAAAAGCGAGTGCAGCGCTTCCTCCTGAAAGCGCTTCCCCGGGAACACGCTTCACCTCAGCAGATGAAGAAACCACTACGTCTAAATGACAAACAAGACCTCTTCGGCCTCCAAGCGCATTGAGATCACACAATGACCAATCAGAAAAGAACAAAGAAAGTACTCCCTTTCGCTTCGTCTTCATCTCAGCTCAGAGAGTGGGGGACTCCTTATAGAGTATATGGGCCTGGACCCCATGGCCCAATACTCATGAAGCCAACAATGATCAGAAGAATATCCACGTGGTACCCTTCGGCCCAGTAGGACCCGCAACGGCCGAAACCAAATCGGCCCAGAACACGCACCTGAACTTTGGGGCCGCGTCGGCCCATGGACCGCATCGGCCATGGGCCCGCATTGGACAGACCGCATCGCATCGGTTAGGCTCCGTCCCAGCAGAATGCATTTTCATGCTTTATTTACTAAGTGTTGTACTCAGCCCATTAGTGGCCCTATTTCGCCCAAAGAAGGCATGATTATTGTAATGGGCCTCCTAAGCCCAAGGCTAGGGGCCAAAATCCACATTTTTACCTATAAATAGACCCCAAGAGGCTAGTTATAGGGGGTTGAGAAATATAATTACTCACTTTCTCTCTCTAGCTCTCACCTCTCTCTAGAATTAAATACTCTATCAGTAGTAATATGCATTAAATAAGGAACCTATTAATTCTTCAATATATCTATCGTATAAGGGCAACCATGGAATGAAAAAATAAAGAAAGGGGCGGATGGCATGAATATGATGACATGTACCATCATATTAGGAAAAGAAACATACAAGTCATATAATGGGAAAGAGAATGACTTTTAGTAATACAGAGGGTAAATTTCTCTATAATAAAGTACCACTATATAGTCAACTCCGAGTCCTTGGGTGTTTATGCTATGCACATGAATCCAATAATGGAGGTGATAAATTTGCAGCTCGTGGTGTTAAGTGAGTTTTTCTGGGATATGCATATTCTCAAAAGGGGTGGAAAGTTTATGATTTGCAGCGTAAGAGACATTTCATATCTCGAGATGTTAAGTTCGTGGAAGATAAATTTCCCTTTGCGGTTGAAGACTCTATAACCGAAACTAAAACTAATGAAGAAGCAGGACATGGTTCACGTGCATGGGAATCTCATATGCATGTGGATGATTACATGTATGAAACAGAAGGAGAGGGTCATCATGGAACTCGGCCAAGCAGTGAGGAAGTCCAAGCGTCTACACCATCGAATACGGAATCTCATATTTCTTTGACCAGTACAGTGGACGAAGCCAATGGTAACCATGCGGAGACTGAACCGAACACTACCCCACATCAAAACAGAAGGAGCGAGCGCCCTCGTAAGGAACCAGTATGGCATAAGGACTACGATGTGCGAATGAACACGGTTAAAATAAACTCTCCCCTCGTTGTTGCCCCTTCTCTCGCACCCGAATCAGGTACTCCTTATTCACTCTCTCATTATATAAAATATGATCATTTTTCGGTGCCGCACCGGGCTTTTCTTGCAGCTATCTCCTCCACTAAGGAGCCCACTAGCTTTCGAGAAGCGGTTCGTGATCCACAATGGAGGGCTGCTATGAGTCGTGAGATACAAGCACTTGAACGCACTGGTACGTGGGAGATTCGAGACTTGCCCCCAGGAAGAAAGATATTTTCTGTAAGTGGGTGTACAAAATCAAATACAAAAGTGACGGCTCAGTAGAACGGTACAAGGCACGTTTGGTTGTCTATGGAAATCGACAGGTGGAGGGTGTTGATTACAGTGAAACATTTGCCTCGGTAGCCAAAATGGTCACAGTACGTACCATCCTGGCTGTCGCAACATCTTGTCATTGGGGACTACATCAGATGGATGTAGATAATGCTTTCCTCCACGACGACCTTCACGAAGAAGTATATATGCACCTCCCACAAGGATATTCGGCCTCCTCCCCTGGGAAGGTGTGTCATTTAATTCGTTCACTTTATGGCTTACGTCAGGCACCACGGTGTTGGTTCTCTAAACTGACTGCCTCCTTGCGGCGCTATGGGTTTACACAATCACACGCTGATTATTCTCTGTTTACTATCCAAAGGGATACCCGCATACTTTGTGTACTCATTTATGTAGACGACCTGCTGATAACCGGCAATGATCACACAATGATTGAGCAATTCAAAACATATCTAGCCGCCATTTTTCTTGTTAAGGATTTGGGCGTGATGATATATTTTCTTGGAATTGAGGTCGCACAAAATCCTACAGGAATTTTTCTGTGTCAACGGAAATATGTGCTTGATATTCTGGCTGAAACAGGGTTGACCGGATGCAAACTGATTACCTTTCCTATGGTGCAGAATCATCATCTCCAGTCCGATTCTAGCTCCGATTTTCCTGATCCTGAGCGCTATCGAAGACTAGTCGGGAAGCTGATTTATTTAACTCTAACCAAGCCAGATATTTGCTATTCTGTTCATATTCTTTCACAGTTTATGCAAAAACCCAGAGTGGCTCATTGGGAAGCTATACTTCGAGTTCTCAGATACCTTAAAGGCTGGCCTGGGCAGGGCATCTTGTTGCGGTCTGACTCGCCTCTCTCTCTCTCCACGGATACTGTGATGTTGATTGGGCTACCTGCCCGACTACACGCTGGTCTGTTACTGGTTATTTTGTATCTCTACGTTTCTCTCCAATGTCGTGGCGCACCAAGAAACAGGCCACAGTCTCCCGCTCATCTGCAGAGGCGGAGTACAGATCCATGGCCTCCTTGACGTGTGAACTTATTTGGCTCCGAAATCTCCTTCGCTTGCTAGGAATAAATCACACCAGTCCGGCTCGACTCTATTGTGATTATCAGGCAGCACTATATATTGCTTCTAACCCGGTCTATCATGAGTGAACCAAACACATTGAGCTGGATTGTCATTTTATACGAGATCATATTCAAGCTGGTACTGTTACTCCGGCTTACACACCTACCACGGAACAGCCTGCAGACTTACTTACAAAGGCCCTTGGAGCTCATAAGCTCTCTTATCTACTTGGCAAGATGGACATTTGTGACCCCCATGCTCCATCTTGAGGGGGTGTTGAGTCACATTATTTTCAATTTTATGTACATATATTTTATGTTACGTTCTTTTCCTTGTACGTAGTAGTTAATACTCCCTCCTTAACATTCATATCTTCCCACTTTTCTTTTTTGGACCTAACATTTATATCTTCCCATTTCTAAATCTTCTCATCATACCCTCAATAATTTAAAAAATAATACACTACTATACCTACCTTTTTTGGATTTATCCTTCATTCCATCACATTATTTTACCATCTTCCCATCATACCCTCAATAATTCATACTTTATTTCACTATTCTTAATCTCACTCACTTTAGAAGTGGGAAGATATATCTGATACGAAGGGAGTATAGAATAGGAATGTTGTATTTCATTGATTTACTTTCCTTTTCTTTCTCCTTAAGTCACGCGTGGGGAGCTACGTTCTTGGGAAGAACTGGAGCGTGCGTTTTGTATATGTGGAGGCTTGAACTCTGTTTTGTAATCAAGCAAGAATACAAAAATTTTCCATATCTTCTTCCAATATTTTACACATCTTAAGAAAGCAAAACGAAAAGGCAGAAACATTAAAAACAGACTTTATGATGGAATCGAAAAAGCATAACGAAAAAAGAGACGGAAGAAATCAGATATGAAGAAAGACATGAATGAGCAGCGGCCTGCGACGGAAGAAAAGCAGAAAAGTAGAGAAGAAGGAGCGGCCTGCGACAGATCTGATCGGCGACACCTTCGCCGGTGATACTTGCATCTCCTCCTCGCCACAAATCTTCTCTTTCATAGACGGCGTACTTTCTCTTCACAGATTTGATCTCAGATCTCCGACATTTGTTTTGCAAGAAGAGTTGGGAGGAGAAGGATCTGAAAGCCGCTTGGTGTCGAGTCTGGAAAGAAACGAACACAAGGGATAAATTTGGAACAACGGAAACAATTACTCTTATTTAGGAGTAAAAAAAGGCAAGGTCTTGTTTAAGTATTTAGGGAGATTTTTGGTCTTTGACACCATAGTGAAACGTACGACTTGATTGACTGGGCAATGGGATATACTATCCTCCGTCTCTTTTTAATCGCAACATGTTAAATTTTATACTATTCACATGTTCTACTTTGACTACATTTTATATTATTATTTTATGAAAATTATTTTTTAAAATAAGTATTGTTCAATTCATCTCATTACAAATTTTCAAAATCTAATTTTTAAATATTTTTTACTAATAGAGATTAAGATATAATTACGGTCAAAGATGAGCGTTGGCAAGTGCGAAATGTTGACCGTTGCAACTAAAAAAGTACGGAGGAAGTATATTCCTCAGTACCAGAATGTATTCACACACACCGACACACAAACGCAAGAGTAGGTGGGAGGAACTGAGGAAGCTAGTTTATTTAAGCAGCTAGCTAGCAAGCAAATTACAGAAAACTGGAAGAAGCTAGCTAGCTTAATTAGTTGAGAATGAAAACGGATAGATTATTATTGTTATGGGCGTCCACTATGGCAGTGGGGGTGAGTTGCTGCTTGATGCTGCTGGCGACGAGTGTGGCTAGTAAATGCGTTGATGCAGAGAGGGAAGTCCTCCTCAAGTTCAAGCACAACGTTGTTGACGAGAATGACTATCTCCGCTCCTGGGGCAACCACAGTGATGAAGATTGCTGCCGCGGCTGGGAGGGGGTTTGGTGTGATGACGCTACTGGCCATGTCATCTACATCGAACTTGATTACAGGTCCCTGTCCGCGAAAGATGGTGGGAAGTATAGCACCAGCCTTCCATTCTTTGAGCTCCGCTATTTGAAGCATTTGGATCTTAGCGTTAACCACCGTTTGCTGGCAAACCAGAGCATCTCATCATTGATCGGGAACAACACTATGGTTTACCTTCAATACCTGAATCTTGATTTAACCGGAATTGTTGGCACCATTCCTGAAAATTTTGGAAACACCATGCCTGCCGTTACACACCTTGACCTCGGCTCTAATCATTTAGAAGGTTCCATTCCTGAAAATTTTGGAAACAACTTGCCTGCCCTTACATACCTTGATCTCATCTTTAATTTATTGGAAGGATTCATTCCTGACAGTCTCGGAAAGATGGTCAATTTGACTTACCTTAACTTGCAAAATAATAGGTTGGAAGGTCACATTCCTGAAGCTCTAGGGAATATGTCTGTCCTTGAAGAGCTTCATCTTTGGGGTAATGATAAACTACAAGGAGAAATCCCAAAATTCATTTGGAACATATGCACTTTGCAAGTCTTGAATTTGAGTTTCAACCGTCATAGTGGAACTCTATTCATATCCACATTATGCGCAAATCACCCTCTCCTGCAGTTAAATCTAGAAGGGAACCGATTCACGGGCCTATTTCCTGATCTTACCATGTTCCCCTCTTTGGCCACATTATATTTGTCGGATAACCTCCTAGGTGGGGTCATTTCTGAACATCACTTTGTTACTCTCTCCAAGCTACTCGAGCTGGACTTATCTTCAAACAATTTCACTTTCGATGTCTCCTCCGCTTGGCGTCCTCCTTTCCAATTGTTTAAAATATTCCTCAGATCTTGCAACTTGGGCCCTAAGTTCCCCAATTGGCTTAGAACTCAAGTCAACTTTACGCACCTTGACATTTCCAATAACACCATCTCCGATTCAATCCCCTCCTGGTTTTGGAATACAACTACAAACTTCGTGGGAATTAATATTTCGTATAATGGAATCAAGGGAACCATTGGAAATGGTGCTCAGGCATCAATCCAAGGTGGTGAGCTAGATATCAGTTCGAATCAATTACAAGGTGTCATTTCACCCTCTTTCTTCAATGTGACAGCACTGCGCCTTTCTCAGAATAACTTCACTGACCTCAACTTCCTATGTGACATTAAGGCACATGCTGGTGTGGAGCTTTTGGATTTCTCATTCAATCAACTTTCCGGTAGACTTCCAGATTGCTGGTCAACAGTCTCTCATCTGCGATTTCTCAACTTGGGAACTAATCACAACCTATCAGGGACGCTTCCAACTTCCATCGGATCATTGGCTTCCCTGAAGGTATTACATCTTGACCATAACAAGTTTACAGGCCCTCTACCTTCATCCCTGAAAAATTGTTCTCTCTTGGTATCTTTACATCTGGGACACAACAACTTGTTTGGACCAATACCACATTGGGTAGGTGAAAGTTTAACACAACTTTCCATACTTAAGCTAACATCCAACCACTTCAATGCAAGTTTGCCCTTGACCTTGTGTCGTCTCCAATCTCTTCAGGTGTTGGACCTATCCATGAACCACATCTCAGGGACTCTTCCAAACTGTCTTTCTAATCTCACTCAAATGATGAAAGCAACGGAAAACAGTGGCACAATGAGTTATGACTTACCATATTCGTCCAGTGTTGCAGATAATGCAGTGGAAAAATACACTACACAAGAGGAAAAGATAGATGTTACATGGAAAGGTATGGTCTACGAATTTGGCCGTAATTTAGGATATCTACATAGCATTGATCTATCATCCAACATGTTGAGTGGAGAAATTCCAACTGAGATCACATCTCTTTTTGAGTTGGTCTCGTTGAACTTATCAAGAAACAATCTAACAGGACAGATTCCTTTAAGGATTGGTAACTTGGCAAAATTAGATGTTCTTGATTTGTCCAGTAACTATTTGTCTGGTAGCATTCCTCAAAGCCTTGCCCTGATTCATGGCATGGGGGTTCTCAATGTGTCAAATAATAACTTATCTGGAAGAATTCCCAAAGGCACGCAGCTTCAGAGCTTTAATGCAAGTTTATACATGGGGAATCCCGCACTATGTGGAGATCCACTACCCAATAGCTGTGCCGGAGAAGAATCAACTTATCCTTCTGCTCATGGATCTAGTGAAGAAGAAGAAGATAATATTTTTGGCAATGAGTTCTATGCAAGCATGGGGGTCGGATATGGTGCTGGATTTTTGGGAGTTCTAGGGACAATGCTATTCAACAGGCCCTGTAGGTTTGCATTTTTCAAAGTCCTTGACAACTTTGCTAATTGGATTTATGTTGTGGTCGCAATACACAAGGCCAAGTTCGTGAGATCCCTGGGTGGTTAACAGGCCAGTGTTATTACCCGTCATCTTATATGCAACTTCTTCTATTATTGTGTTGTTTTCTGTTTTCCTTCATATTGGAAAGCTGATAAGAGTATTAGTTTCATGTCATTTCAATATCTATGGTTGATTTTCAGAGATTTCCGTTGCACCTTGTTTTTATGTGCTCTCTCTATGTCACATTTGCTATGTTTTATGTGAATTATTAACCCGATGTGATTGTTTCCGCTTTGATACTGGTCACCGTTAGCTTAGTAGTTAGTAGTATATTAAAGTAAAACTTTTGTGGCAGAGAGATTTACCTTTTGTGGTTAAAACCTTTTCATTGCATTTGTAGTTATTTAACAGGCTATACTAGAGACGGTGGATAATATTTTTAAAACGAATAAGAATTCTTTGCCCTTTAATCCTGAAACCGGAATAAGTAAATGTAGAGCTTAATGGTCATATTTGAAAGTGGGTTTTGGTAACTCTTTGTATATTTAGCATATTTTATTCTTGTTTTTTACATTATGTGTTATCGTACAAAACTATCATGATATGTATATTTTAAGAATAAGAAAAGAGTGTTGCTTGTTACGGATTGCTGTAGTACTTAATCGTAGTAGAAGTTAAAAGATTAAACTTTTTGGACCACATGATAGAAACCTCTGTGGTGATCATAGATTAAGAAAGTTTCTTCTTGAATGGATCATCCTTTTTTTTCTTCTCTTGGTGTTTTCCAGTTTGTGTTCCTATTTCTAATGATGTTTTTTATTTCTTTCAATTTTCAGGTTTAGAACTTTGGATATTTGTTGAGTTTTCAATACATTGTTTACCCATAGTTGATTACATTACTCATTTAAACAATGTCTACATTGTTAGTATATATTCAAGTAAGTTTTTCATGGTTCAAGCAGAACTGCAGAAGAGGGGGAAGGATGGAAGGAAAAGTCTGTATGGTATAACTATCTTATAGTATGTATTGAAGTAAGTTTTTAAGCTAGGGAAGTAGGGAGCTAGCTGCTATTGGAAATACGAAGTATATATTTCTGGTCAGCTGCTTTCTTACTACTTTGTGGTTTCAGACATAACCTAGATTTTACCACCTTATTCCAAATTTAGGTGGATGTGCATTTTCATTTGCAAATACTACGTATCATACTTAGTGATGGACCCGGGCCGGGCCAAAGCCCGGTCGGGCCTCGGGTCTGATATAGGTTGGCCCGGGACCGGCCCGGGCTATGGGCGGTTCCGGTTCGGGCCGGGCCACCCGGCCGGGTCACGGTTCGGGCCACCCGCCGGGCTGGGCCGGTTCAATATATTTTTTTTTTAAATAATTATATATTATACAGATTCCTATTAAAAACAAAGTTCAAGTGCATTTATTTGAAATAGGAATTACATTTGAGAATTGAGAAAAAAATAACAATACGAAATACATTTTCTAATAAATATCAATTGGGATTTCCGCCACCGTTGGTTGTTGTTTTGCCTTTGTCACAAGACTTCATATGTTTTATTGGCATCCCGTATCCGTGTGAACGCTCCAAGCTACACTCTTTCTTGCACCACTTGCAAGTTGCCCACCACAGTCCGGTCTTCGGGTCCTTCCACTTATCAAAATTGTTTTGCATAAGGGAAGATGTACTTTCCATCTTTAAAATGGTATATGTATAAGTAGGAATGTATGATAATAAGAGAAGATGAAGATGGAGAAGAGTTGGAGAAGAAGTGTAGAAAAATGTTAGAAAATAGATGTATTTATAGATGTTTTTGAACCCCACTCCCCACACCACCACCCCCGGGACCCCCCTGCCCCCCACCCTAAGCCCCCAACGGCTATATAGCCGTTTGGGAGGTTGGTTTAAAAAAAAAAACTAAATCTTTTTTTTAAAGTTATACATATTGTAAAATAAGTTAATTAATTTAATGAATTAATTAAAGCTATTTGTACTTAGAAAAGTGGTTTGATTTATAATTTACAAATGTTACAAAATAGGTGTATAAGTATTTAAACAAATTACATATTGTAAATGTATTTTTAATTTAAAAATCACCTTTAGATTTTAGAGAAATAATTTTAAGTCGTAAGTTTGTAACCAATTAATTAATTTAAGAAGTGCTACATATAAAAAAAATGAATGCATATTTATTTGAAATATGAAGTACAAGTTTACAAATTAATTTGAAGTACTAACAACAAATTTACAATTTTGAAATATGAAGTACAAGTTTACAATTTTGAAATATGAAGTACAAGTACAAATTAATTTGACAAGTGCTACAAAATACATTTTATAATAATTTGTAAAATACTAATCAATCGGAATCTCCGACATAGGTAGAGCCACCGTCGGTTGTTGAGTCATCCATAAAATCTTGGGAGGGGGTGATGCTCATTTCTTGAGTTCTACGTGCGGCCTTCAACCAATCGTGGTAGCATATAAGCGTCTCAAGAGACTCCGCGCTCAATCTCGATCTATATGCCGTTAGGACGTTGCCGGCCAAACTAAATTCTTGTTCCACAGCAACTGTTGAAACCGGCATTGATAGTACTTGCTTAGCCATCCGTGCTAAAATCGGGAACGTTCTTTCTTTTGACTTCCACCAGTTTAGAACGTCAAAGTCATCAGTTTCTTCAAAATCAACTTCATATGTTAAATACAAAGTAATCTCATTCAATGTGCTTTGTTCAGTGACGTGAGTTGTTTTACTTTTTTTCATAAGATTGCCAAATGCAGATTTAAAAATCGATTTTCCTTTAGATGAAGATGTTCGTGACGGGGGAGGGGGAGCGTTGCTATATTGTGCACGAAACTCATTAAATAATGCATAAAATAAAGCACTAACCTCGTTGTATTCCGTTTTCGGATCTATGGGGTTATCGTCATACATTGGAAATTCACCAAAAAAAAGCAAGATAATAGAAGTTGAAACAATCTTCCAAATTAGCTAGTCTAAAACGAGGATCGAGAATAAATGCAATACCATAGATATGGGGAATATGCGCATAATATTTTAAAAACTTTTCCTTCATATAATCACAAAAATAACTCACGAAAACGGCATTCTCAAATTCTTTAAAAGCACCGGCGAGATTAACAGCTTCACGAATAAATTGGTTTGCGGTAGGTTTATAAACATGACTAAAAGTTTCAGTTACATTAAAAAAGAATATCAAAACATTACAATTTTTTTCGCAAGTGTCGATCTCAGCCGAGTTTATAATATAGTTATCATGTTGTTTTAAAAAAGCAGGAAAATGTTCTTTATATCTAAGAACAACTTTAAGTAATTTATAAGTACTATTCCAACGAATACTCAAATCTTTAGGAAAAGCAACATATCTCACACCTTTTTCAGTCAAACTAGTATCGTACCCGTGCGATGCACGGGACAAATTTTGGTTTTAGTTTAGTTATGAGATGCACATATAGAAATATCTAAACAATACGCATTTTTTAATATAATACGAATGAAATAAATACTCAGTGTATGATATGAGAGAGATGTTAATAAGTTGTTGAATTAGAAATAAGGAACAATATAATACAAAACAAACTTCATATTTTGAAAAACTTTTGGGTATACAACATTTATCAAATGTTGAGCCATTGGAGGAACCATGAGTCGCTTATCAATGTTTTCAATCTTTCACGTCTGGTAACTCAGGAAACGGCTATATAAAGTTGACCATGACAGAATACCGGGTTTTTTAGGAACAACCCATCATGGGATAGCGATTGTCCTTGGCTTTTGTTGATTGTCATTGCATATGAAACAATTACAGGGAATTGTCTTAGAGGCCTTTTGGTAACACTGTTTTTCGGCTTAACAGGCTTATCAGCCAACTTTTTCACCAAACACGTAACTTTTGCTTTCGCACGCTGAATTGTGTAATACGCAGAAAAAGTATGGTTGAAGTTACTTTTCTGGTTGTATTGACTGAAGTTACTGTAAATGACCATTTTAGTTTTTTTTAAATATAATTTTTTCGTTATTTTATTAATAAATTATATTTTAAAAATAATTTTTTCTCAAATCAACAGAATCAGCCAATGCAGCCACTTCAGCCAGAATTTCATAAATTTCAGCAGAATCAGCCAAAACAGTCAATTTTGATGCTACCAAATGGGCTCTTAATTAGTTGGAACTTGAAAGGCATTCTAACGTCTAATGGGTCAGCTTTTACATGTTCCTCCACTCGTGTACGCTTTATTGTCAAGCGATCCACATTTACTATACATTATAAAAATCCAGAATATGATCGATACTGTAATTTAGGAATGAAGTAAAGATTTTTGTTTATATGAATTATTTACGGAGTACTATATAAATGATACCATATTACCATTCATTTAACGCTGTTTTGAAGTGTTCTATTTGAGCAAAATTTCCTTTAATTTTATAAAAGCAACATACATATTAATTTATATAATCCAATGTGCCAAAGATATTTGAAGTGTTCTATCTGGAACTTTAATTTTCATAAGATAGAGCAATATTTATCAACATTTTTAGCTTTTAATAGAAATAATTTATATAAACAACACTTTTTACATATGTTCAATATACAAAAAGTATATCTTCTCCGACAGATTTTCTTTTTATCATAAAGCATGTAATAAAAAAGATTATACTAAATTCTAAAAATATTCAAAGTATCATAAAAGATAATGGCTCTAAATAGACTAATATGGAGTAATAGACTGAATGGCACCTGGAATACTGCTTCTGGAGCGGTTTCCATTGCTCCTGTTACTTGAATTTGTGATGATTTTTTCTTGAATCTCCATATCCTTATTCTTGTACATCATCTTTAATTGGAGATGGAAAAATTGATAGTAATAATCTCAACTATTGGCGGTCCGCTCATAATAATCCCAACCGTTGATTATTCCAGAATAATCCCAACTTTAGGGACCTTCCGCCAATAATGGTCTCTATGAATAAATTCTTGTAGTTTCTAAAGTGGATGAGATGAGATATAGCAAGTAATCCCTATAAATAATTCTAACGTTTAATTTTTACGTTTAATTTCTATTTAAAATTCACTTGTTATAGGGGGTAATATTTGGTCATGGACCATTATTGGCGGACAGTCTATATAGTTGGGATTATTCAAAAATAATCCATAGTTGGGATTATTATTTTCAATTTTTCCATTTGCTTTGTATATTAGCATTATTAGCATAATCAATCTTCTAAAGTAATAAAAGAAGAAATAGTTTTAATTGGAACTAAGAGTGCAGAAATTGTCAGACGTTCTTGCTCTGCAGATCTTGCAATGAAATTACTTCCTAGTCATATTTCCTAGGAGCCGTCATCAAATGCTCAGTAATACTTGATAATTTTGTTTGACTGAATTGTCGCCAGGTTATATTAATGTTGAAATTCCTAAAGAACTGCTGAATGGCGTCTATGTCTCTAACAACTAACCATTCTCGACGAATTGTGACATGAACTCTGTCACCTTGTATAAATAGAAAAGTGTGAATCAGTTGGTCTGTGAAAACTTTAAACACAAATGTTATTGGTATCCCAATTTGTACCCCATTTTGTACCTCCTCCCTATATTTGTGGTTCACAAAAGTAATTCATTAAAATGGAGCAATTCATTTAATGTGTTGGGCTTTTGTGAACCACAAATATAGGAAGGGTGTACAAATGGGGTATCAAATGAGGTACCTCTAGCACCAACTTTAAATTTTGAGGTGTGGACATCAACGTTTTTTAGAATTACCTTGTGATCGTGGAACTCCTTTAATTTGTGTTGCAGAATTATGCCATATAAAGGACGTGCTGGTCGTGGTGTAACTGCCCCACTACTGCATTGGAGGTTCCACGTGGTTGCATGGATTGGTGATGGTGAATGTTGTGGGATATTTTTATGTTTTGACACGTGCAAAATTTCAATGGCCAAATTGTTCCTATTTGTACTCACGATTCAGCTTTTATATATAGATAAGTTTGTCATTTTAATCTAAGTTGACAATTACCCCAAATACGTCTAATTCCCCCCCCCCCCCCCCCCCCCCCCTTCACTATCTCCATAGCATCTCCTAACGCTTTTAGACCGTCTTGCACACATAATTTGGAAGTTGAAACAATCTTCCAAATTA